ATTCTCCTCGACTAACATTTAAATAAAAATTAAGTAATTAGCGGAAGAAATTTTCGTTTAATTTATTTCATCTATGATTTATCTATCGTAATGTGATGTCAGACTAATAAAATAATCGTCTGAAACGCGCAGTTGGGTAAGTGACTCAACATTCGTGGAGTTTTGTCATCTCGATGATATCATCTATTATGCAGGTGATCTATTTGTAAGCATATATAAGATTAATATCGAAGAATCACGGATGCAGAAATGCATTAAGTTCGACATCACATAGAGTATTGTATTAATTCTGAACCAAAATTTACCGCGGCAAGATAATTAATTTAATTAAAAATATAAAAATAAATTTAAATAAAAAATATTTTTTATTAATAACACTGACATAACGGTATATTAAATTAGTCATTACACTTTATAAAAAATAAAAATAATTTAAAAAAATATATAATATCACTTTTATCATTAATAATTCAATGACTATTTGAATTTTAGTTCTATTTATATCTTTTGCGATTTTATTTTATCGTAGACACCAGAAGACAGTAACGCAAACGCACTCCATTACTGATTCTAGGCCAGTACCTGTGCAGGAATTGATTCCTGGTAAAAGCTGCTATCCAGACTGACGTCGCGATCGTTGCGGTTCTTGAACGCAGGCGCCACACGCCATTTCGCTATACATACGTACATACACTACGAATCTGTTGAAGCAAACATCAATAATGTTTCTGCAGTATTATTGCACGGAAATGAGAATGCTAGCTTTAACCTTTATCAGACATTATTTTATTTTTTCATAAAAATTATAAATATTAATTATTGTTCTGTAATGTCTCGAAAATAAACCTTGTATTATCATTATCGCATCATGTTACATATGAGGCAGCATTAACGTCCGTTTAAAATACTTTAAATGAAAGCATAAATTTTCTATTTTTATAATATGCGTCAATAGATAGCCAGCAACGAGATAAGTTTAACTAAACATACAAGAAATATTTTCTATTGTTCACGGTAAATTACATGACGTTCGTCTGAAAAAATCTACATAAAAGCGAACTAGTTATCTGCAAACATAGTTAGCTCAAAGATGCGTTGCAAATTGATTATTTTGTTTCTATTCTTCGGTAGTGTATTATTTTTAACTTTATAAACGTTATAAATTAGTAAATTAGTCATTAGTTTTAATTTCATATATATATATATAACAATAACAAATAAATATACAATCAATATAATTAATGTTCTTTTTTTTCTATAATATTTTCAGAGATTGTATTTTGTGTGATAACGGAAAGTATTTATCATAATGAAACGTTTTCTACGTTGCCTGCATCTCGAAAGAGTCAACCGAATATTGCATCATTTGTTTTAGTAAATCCAAAACAGATTCAACATGCGGAAGTAATAATAAAACATTTCTTAGCGAGATTAACTGGGTCATTCATTCAGCCAATAACCCTGAGATTGTCGTCTTCCGATGGAGGCAATTTGGGAAGCACAGTTAGTGAAATAAGCAAAATTATACGTGCAAAAATTATGGAATTCGCACAAATTAGCGGACTAACTGCATCAATTCGTCAATATAAACAAACATTATGGAACTCTACAATTTCTAAAAATTGGTTTACCGAAAGTCTTGCCCAGGGATCGCTGCTATTATACGATTTGATTGGAATAGGAGAAGAGATTGGATTTACGATCAATCATTATTTCAAAACATATAATATGACTTTATATGAGAATAAGGTAAGCTCGAAAGTATCAAAAGAGAGATTGTTTTAGAAATTTAAGGAAGTTATAATTAAGATATAAGTATGTAAATAGATTATAGTTTCAAAAGCAACAATTTAATTATCGAGGGTATCGAGAAAAAAACATTTAGGCAATCTATTTATGAATTAGGACAATTATATAAATAACACAATCTATTAATATTTATTTCAGGACTTATCACCATGCAAGAAGACGAAGAGTTTCAAGTTTTTCAGTACTATAAATGATGCCACCAGTTTTAGCGAAAAATTATTTAAATGTTTGTTACCAGTAACAAACAGGAGGAATCCAACATCATCTTTTAATCTCGATCGAGCTCTTGTAAATTTAGCGAAAGATTCACCCGACAACACTGTAAAATTGTTTAAGTTTCGCTTAGATCAAGCATTCATCCGTTCTGCACCAAGTAACGACGCAAGCAGTGAACAATTGTACATGTTACAATTGCTATGTCATTCACTTGTTGAAAGGGTCAGTCATTATAGCGTTTGTATCAAAGAATTACGACATTTCGTGACTTGCGTATCTTTATCAAGAGATCAAGACTCGTACGAAGCAATCGATCATCATAGATTTCTTACCAAACCATGGTTAACTATTATTGAAAATTTAAGTGGATGTAAGATTAATGTCGACAATGCAAGCATTAACTGTCAGTTTTATCGAAGATTGCCAAAGTCTACAACGCAGCAAGTAAAATATATTTACGAAAAAATTTTAGACCAACGGATACCTAAACGATCACCTTTTTATCTTATCGCGAATAAACTCGGGAATATTCTTTCGAGAAGCGAATGGGGAAGACAATTGACGTATGATGTGTGTAAGTATTTTGCAATTTACCAGGAAGGCCACAGGAAGTTGAATACGCTTTCGAAAAATGCTGCTAAGGACAAGAGAGTGGCTATGAGGTTAATGATATTTTAATAATTCATGTATTTATTAATCTTTATTACAGTGCACGATATAACTTCTCAGAATTTTATACTATTAACATTAAAAATGCATAATTAAAAAATAGTATTTATTTAAAAATTTATATAAATAATTGTTTTAGGTATAAAAAAATGTCTGTATCATTAAATATATATAAAAATGGTGTATTAAGGGAAACAATGCTTGCTGTTAGAAACTTTCATCGTTTTGCATTAAAAATGCAACAATTTCTTATCCATGGTATTAGAAGTTCTTTTAAAGAATCATGGCAGAATCATTATAATATTCTCTCCTGCTTGTCTAAATGGATGATGAAACTTTTGGAATTATTTGGATGTGCAAATTTAAGTGATACAGACATCGAAACGTCAACTTCTACTGATATTTCGTTAGTTAATATAACAGATTCAGATAGTGCAAGTGAGGAGGAACTTGACGAAAATGGTCAAATGAGACATCTCGTGAAATATTCTAAGAGAGATCGTAAGTATTTATATTAATACATATAAGAAAGATAATATTTCAACATACTAATTATAATTATATACATACGTACTATAATAATTATTAATTTTTTTAAATTGTTTCAAAATTGTTAAAAACAATATTTTACTTTTATATCGAAGCAGTTTCAGTAAGTAACATTTTTATTTTCTTTTGTGTGGAATCGAGTTCTATTAATTGATTTTAAATTAGCTAAAAAAATTTGGAACTATAATAATTTGTGCAATAGTAGAGTTAATTTTACAAATAAATTCTATATTTATTTCTGCAGAAATAAGAAAGGAGGCCGATAATATTTTCGGAAAACTAATGCGTTTAATGAATCATGTAAGTAAAGTGCGAAGTCGAAATCACAGGAGCACTTTAGCATGTTTGGCAAATAACTTGCTATTGGTTACTATGTTCATGGAAACAATTAGTTTTGTTTCTACATTATTTTGTTTGGGAGAGCATAAAGATGAATCTAATCTTGAAGAAATGACAGAATCCATCTGGACGTGAACGTAGATGGGGTAATCCCGATTGACCACGGCTCGATTGGACACCACCAGTCACAGCGACCGGTGCTTAGGAGCTTTGTAGTCTCAAGCGCTGTGAGTGGCTCGTGTCCAATTGAGCCGTGTCCAATTGGGTGCCACCCGATTTATCAATGTTAAAATAATTTAATTAAATTTAATATATAAGTATAATTAATTTTTCTGTTGTAAGAAAAAATTTCTCAGAAATCGACGACATCTATGGTAAAGACTAAGTTTTATTCAAAATATGTTTAAAATGTAATAAATGATTTAAATTTTAATAAAAGCCACTTTAAGAAGCAATGAATAATTTGCGATTTATTAACGTTAATATAATATAATATATGCATATATAACATGATACATATATTTTGTACAGTAATGAGTCCACCTGATGTTATAAACACTTTCTCTGACTATAAATCGCTTTTCGATTAATCACTTTTTCCTGAGAGCTATTTACGAGATCATTTTACATGGTTTTACAAAAGAAAGAGAGAGTTCGGTCACTATATATAAGTGTTGACGAATCGATTTCAAAATTGCATTGAGCATGTATCTGGTATCACTACAAGCACCTCGTGACCTTATGTGCATATTTTGTTTATTTCTAGTCAGACATTATTCGGCTGTTAACTCCATTTCTTCGAAAACTACAGTTTTAACAAATTTTTATGTAAATAATGTATAAATACATGCATATGAGTGCTGAAAGTATTTATAACAGCAAGTGAATTCATTTCTGTTCAAAATACACGTATCACGTTTATCCTTTACAGAGAAATCAATAAATTTGGAGATGTATTGAAATTAATGAGTGGTAGTGTACATTGCACATTAAACGCAATTGCAATTTTCATGTTTTTAAGAAAAAAACTATGGTATTTTAATCGGTTTTTGCATCAAGACTGTCTTAGATTGGTTTATGTCATCTTAATATTGTACTTAGAATATTCTTAAATATAAGAATTGTGTGTGACTATGAATGTCGGCCCAGGAATCTTTACAATAATTTTATTGCTAATAAATATTTGATTTGTTGCGACAAGGTATGATAAATTTCAAATTATCACTTTGCTTATGGCACTTACATAAATCATGTTCAATCTTGGTACTATTGTAATGCTGTAATTGCGATAGTATCATTGTTTGTTGCTGTTAAACGTTCAAGAAATATATCTTGTCTGACATTTACAACCAAGACGAAATAGATCGTCACACTTTACATATGCTAGATCTCATTGTATGATGACACAGTCACCAAAAATGCGCGGAGCAGTCATTGTTCTTTATCTTGCCGGTACGAATAATTATTTGTGTGTTATACAGTACTGTTAACAATAAAACAAACAAATATTTATGCCTTTAATTGTAATCGTATAAAAGTAATAGTTATAAAATAATTCACTGTTTAAAAAAAATAAATTTGTTTCTGTTACATGTAATATTTAATGTTATCAATGAAAATGAAGTTACAAGTTACTTAAATTTAACGTTCACATGCATTAAACTTCATGCAAATCTACATAGAGTTTAATAAAAAATGTATTAAACTTCTAAGTTACACTAGCGAAAAGAATTGATATTATTTTATATTGTAATAGTACTAAACTTCGTAAAATTTTATGACAAGTACACTAAATTTCATGAATATGTACACAAATGTACTTTTCAGTTACAGATACATTAAATTTAATTTAGTGTAACTTTCATAAAATTGAATTTAGTTTGTGTAACTTAAAAGTACATTAAATTTCATGATATTTTTAACAGTGTAGTATAATATTATAGTAATAATTAAATAGACACTATTTCCCCATTATTATTCCCTAATACCAATTTATCAGCGATATATTGGTTAAACGTTGGCCAATATTGGGCCAATATTTGAACAATATTGTGCTAATAATTGTGCTATTAGAGTTAATAGGTACAAACTGTCTCTATTATACAATGTTCCCTATATATGTATACTCTAGGTTTTCTGTTAGAAGAAACAGATGGAAATGCAACATATACAGCGCAACCAAAAATTATTGGAGGACAATCAATCGACATAAGATATAGACCTTTTATGGTTAAGTATTTTTTAACTGTACGTCGACGTATATAGATATGATTTATCCATTTGCTAATATTTTCTAAAAATAATACTTACAGCTGTCTTTACATAATTCACATGGATTTTTGTGCGGCGCCAGTATATTATCGAGAACATGGGCTATTACTGCTCTTCATTGTTTGTAATAAGATTGTAACATCATGATTCATTATTTTAATTCTTTTAACATATTCTTGTTAAAGTATTAATATTTAATTAAACTTACGAACTGAGAATAGTAAGTTTATTTTTAATGATTTTAATGCTTTATTTTGATACTTTATTATTTTCTAGAATCTCGGTACCGTCGCAATATTATGTACGGGCCGGATCTAATAAAATGGATAGAGGCGGATCTGTGCATAGAGTGACGAACATTCGCGTATATAATGCTACATATCGCTCTTGGTTTTTGAGATTATTTCATCACGACATCGCACTTCTCGAAGTGAAACCACCATTTCGTTTTTCGAGAATAGTCAGGCCAGTTCGTTTACCAAGATCGATTCACGAATTGCCATTTGAACTGTTAGTCTGTGGTTGGGGATACATAAATGATAAAAAAGTAAGTTAAATGGTAAAGATTTATATATGCAGTGCTTTTTTAAACATTTTATATTACTTATTTGTATATTTCCTACTTATGTATAAATTGCAAAAATACCAAATGTTTAAATTACTGATGATAATCGAAACAACAAAATTTGAAAGTGCGGGATTTTAAATATATGTATAGAATGTTTTTACTAAATAAAAACGTTGTCGATGTCTTTTATATATTATATTTATATTCTCTCTTTGATACACGTCTCAAATTTTTTGTTATCTATTAATTTATTATTAGAAATTAAAAGGCATAAAAAAAAGCATACAATTTAATTAAAATAATTTATAGAAAGAAAGTGCTGAAACTTTAATGGGCGTTTACGTTCAGCACGTTTCATATAAAACCTGTATTAATGTCACATCTTCATACGCGACACTCGTCAAAGATGACTATCATTTGTGTTACGGAACCCAAGGAAAAGATGCTTGTTTTGGAGACTCCGGAGGAGCATTGGCCAATGGAAGGACAATTTACGGTATTGTGTCTTTTGGTCGTGGTTGTGGAAAAGTGGCTGGCGTTTACGTCAAAGTTTTCTACTATCGAGAATGGATTAAATCTGTTACAAATTTATAATCGAACATGCAAGTACACTTTTTAATGACTTTATTTCTTCTGATTACTTTCTACATTTTAATTTTTTCTATTTCTTTACTCATTAACCATAAAAAATTAACAATAAAGAAATGAAGATTTGATAAAAGTGGTGTAATATATAAATATGATTTGTAAATTAATTAATTATTTTAGAAGTTAACATTTAAAAAATTGGCATTTTATTATTTCTCGATCATATTTGCAACGAGTTTTAGCTTGTAGATAATGTCTAATAAAATTACATATCTTACAATTTTTTTTTTTTACATTTATGCTGATGAAAACACGAATAAAACTCAGAAGCGACTTTGTCGACACATCATGTCACTAAAAGCCTTGTGTTCTTATCCGCACAGGTTGAAAGTATTGTTTTCGAGAGAATAGGCACAAAAGGCATATCGAATCACAGAGTCGTGAACCCTCTTGCGTTCAGGTTCGGTGCGTGCAGGAAATCCACTACATACACGTGCTGCGCAAGAGTATCGCGCACGCCTGCACGCGGCACACGTAGCGCTCACTCGTGCAATGCTGAATAAAAGGTGTACGTGACTACGTAATATACGTAATGAATATTTAGTTTTACGTGATAATGATATTTCTTAATGATATTGGGTACTTATGCATATACTGATCATTAAAAATTAACGGAATGGTGCTAAATTAAATATGAAATATGACGCTTGAAAAGATTATCTGGATTAATGTAATGTATAGATTTTTGCAATGATATGATAGAGAGATGGTTAGTTATGAATAAAAAAAAGATTTTTTGAGTAATATTTATACGCGTACAAAATATTTATAACTCTTTTATATTTAACGTAAAGTTATTAAAATATTATCGGAATTTGATTTTTAAATTATTTTACAATTTAAAATTATTTGCATCTTAACGTAATATTAACATGAACCATATAAAAATATAAAAATAATATTTACGAATTTATTCAACAGATACGATAATGTCTCGCGCTAAGTAAACGCGTCGACGAGATACGGTAATTATATAAAATAAATTAAATTATAACAAATTTATATTTATTTGTTCATAATATAATAGATAGATATATATACATATAATAAATAATAAAAATGATAAAAATCATGAGATAAAGAAAACAGCATACAACACATTTTTTCCTGCTATGTGCTGTTTATTTGGTCATGCATGCATGCTTGTTACTTTCAAGCTACTATTTACTGGTATGACTCATCCACGCGTGTTTCCCTGCGAGAAGTGAACCTCTGCCAGGTTTTCCGTTCGCGCTTCTAAGGGTCTTTAAACTCCCCTGCCACGTGCAAACTATTGAGTGTCTCCGTAAAAGACCGTGAGAAGTGCATTATCGTAACGGGACATCCGTCACATTTAGATGTGAACAGACAGACTGCTTTTACATACGGATATTGCGCTATTAATTCCGCTCGAGATATAGCTTAATAGATAATAATAAACTTCTGGGAATAATGATGTATTGCTAATTGATAACAGAAACGAATCAGCATTATGAATAGATTTTCATGTAGTGACATGTTTATCGTATTACTTATAATAATATCGTATTATGTATAATAATTGTACTCGTATATGTATATTTAAAAATAAATCTACTAAACGTTTGTATAGCATGTATAACATTATCTTGAATCATTAATAGTAGTCTATATATGACAACCCCATATCCGCAAAATATGAATATCAATGCTTTGCGTTGTCCGATTTAAAATGCTTATCGGTCATAATCGATGAATTTTTGTTGGTTAAATACTCTTTTTCACGTATTTTTTAAAATGATAAAACCGCAAGATTTTATCAATAGGATACACGCATTTCAAATTTTTATTGTAAAAAACAAAGTTCAATATTTGTTTTGTTATCTTCTACGCAACTTTGTTTTTCACAATAAATTTGAAATGCGTGTATTCTATTGATAAAATTTTGCGGTTTTATCATCAAATATCATGACAATTCTTTGAGAAATTACGTGTTAAAATAATTAATTTGCGTCATATTAAAATAACAGTGATTATATTATTTCTATAATTGTTATTTTAATATGATTATTAAATTATTTTCTAGCAGGGAAAGAGATTTGTCGTAATCTCATTATACATATTTTATTTCACCTAATACTAAATTATAATGTAATTATAAATAGTTTAATTAATTTATATAGAAAAAAGATTATCGATAGTTTTATTATTTAAGAAAAAACAAATTTCTTTTTCACTCACCCATTCGTCACACACGGCATAGGACAAACTTTATTACTACAGTTCTTCACAATCTCGCGACGAATTTTTAGAAACCAAGCGCTACTACATTTGGGACTACAATATTTTTGTTTAGTACTATTATTTTGTATACTTTCAGTGATATCGTCATTGTCTACGAATTCCCAGTTTGTATCATTTGATATAATAGGTTCTTCACATGCTATCAGAACATACGAATTCTGTGAATTTATACTGGAAGGATTCGATGTTGTAGCATTAATGTGCTCCTCGTGCCGCGGATAAACATTATTCGTGACATCCGATTCAAGATGCTTATCGGTTATAATCGATAAATTTCTGTTGGTTAAATACTCCTTTTCACAGATTGCAGACGATTTTTTTATCTCTTCAATATGTGTTTTGTTATCCTTTTTGCGACTTTGTTTCTTACAATAGAATTTTACGAGGTTGCTCAACATGGCTGTATTTGTGAATTATTTTGAATTTATCCTTGCAAATCTTCAAATTATGAATTTCTCTTGAAGCACAAATTCTTATAAAACCATGAACTACACATATTTGCACATACACATACTACTTTGTTATGTAATAGATTTTATCTTAGTATTATCACATTACTTTATAATAATTTGCAAATACGCGATATGATTGCGATGTATTAACTAGAAAGTTCTGGACTAACGTCGTTCATTTAGTACGCGACCCCTGTGAAGGAAAAAGTGGCACTGAACAGTCTCTATGGTATCAAGTATCCACATTCACTAGGGATCCCAACTGATTGTGCACGCGTATGCGAAGAGAAGGGGTGTACGCGTTTACTTATTCACGCTTTCTTTCTTCGTTAATGTAGAATAATAAAAAATATATTTGTTATATTTTTTGCATATATTTTTACTCGATTTATTTTGCAAAATTATTTTCTACATATTAAACATTTTTATATATATTTATATCTGTTTAAAAAAGTACTTAATTATAAAATATTACAACAATAATACATTTATTATATATTATTAAAATATTACATACGTTATCCTCTTAAGTGACAAATTTTTGAAGATCAGAAAAAATTATTTTATTTGATGTTTCAAATGCATTTATTTTAAATATGCTAAAATAAATGCGAAACTAGGGTCTATTTAATTTTTTATATTTTTTTACTATTCCCTACAGAATATTGCTCCCCTTAGTACTATACTGTATGTCATTAAATAGTCAAATGTCAGGTAAAACTAAACGATGAATCGATATTTCTCAAGATATTAAAATATTATATAAGTCGTCACTTTAAATTCTGCAATTTTTAATACAAAAAAATATTGAGAAGTCTTTATTGTGTTCTACTTTAACTTATGAGTTTTTATTTCTTGTACAAGGATGTTCTGTCAATTTTTTTTTATATAATGCGTATTATCAGTTAATTAGTAAATAATATCCGTTTTTTATTGGGATAAAAAAATTGAATTAAATAAAATTTCAATGCTGCAATTATATTATATTCAGTAATTAATATTACTGTTGAATTATTCTATTGAAATTAATAATGTTTATATCTTTCTCAGAGTTGTTTCTAATTTCATGCTACATATGCATCTGCGAGATTGAAAATAAATCTAGGAATTCCCGTGAAATATGCGTGAAAGATAAAGGGAGTTCCCAAGGCTAATGATATTGTAGTTTCCGGTTTAGTGATATTTATATCACATATCAATTACGCATGACTACGAGCACGTCAATGCAGACATTAAAATAAACAGATATAATAAAATATGATAAATACTTTCTATATCTTATTTTAACTTTTAATTCGTAATTTCATATTTAATTCTCAGCTTTTTGTATTTATATAAAACTCACGTATATATTACTTCTTAAATATAAAGATTACAGAATAATCTGTGCAATAGATTCAATAATTTGATCATTATACTGCTAATTTAATCTAATTATTAACCTATTACATTGTTACTTGCAAATAACAAGATCAATTATATTTTATTTTCATACATGTATCGTATGGTAGATAATTACTAGTCATTTGAATATCAAATTGTATGGCAACATTCCGTGCAATTATTAGATCAGAACATTTACGTGTGTAAATACATACTACGTATTCTTCAAATAGAATACTTTGTTTTATTTTACGTTTTTAAATAAAATTAATGCATGTACTTATTTATATCGTATCTATAACTTATTTTTCATGTGCGGTTTGTTAAATTATTGTATTTGTTAAATTATTTACACATACTTTACAACATATTTATGTTATATTGGATAAATATAATAATAATAATAATAATAAACAAAGAAGTTGTTTACTAATTTTGCTTAATTAAATAGATCATATTTACTATTGCAAATTGATATTTGTTGTAAATATAATAATTCTTTTTCATTAAATATCAAATCTGTGAAAACAAATTATTGCACATAATATCACTTAAAAAGAAATATATTTTATATATATTCTTGTTCCCATTTTTTAAACACTTAAAGATGTTTTAGTTTTAAACTTTTTCAATAGACAAAATACTACGTGTTTGGATTTAAAACACGTTACTATGCGTCTATCTATCTTTAAGTGTTTAAGAAATGAAGATAAGAATAAAACATTTTAATATCTTAAAATTAAATACTTCTTTTTTCAGTAATATAGATAAATATTGTTACAAATTTATTTTATTTAATAAAAAGAAACACAATAATAATATGCGATAATATTGTCTTAGCTTCAGTATA